AGCTAGAACAGTCCATATTTACAATTTTGAGGTCTTTGTACCAACAATTTCATAACACAAGATTAAAAAAAATATAATTTGTTCGTACCCTGTGCAACGAGTAGAGAAAAGTATGGTTTCACACCGCTTTTAGCAATAATCGAGCAATATAACAGCGGGGACACCAGGAATGGGTTTGACACGCTGTACCCGTGTGGAGAATCGAACCTGGGTCTTCAGCGTGACGAGCGGGTGCTTTATCCATTAGGCTAACTCACCGCCGCAAATAGTTCTATAACGTACTATACTGTATATAACGCCCTTAATTGAAGTTACAGCGTTTCGCGACGTCATCTTATAGAAACGTCAATCACGAGAAATACATAAAGACTGAATCATACGCACACACACACACGCACGCACACACGCACGCACCATACCAAAAGACAGGTATCTAATCATTTCCACCCATGACACGTTATTTTTCTGATCCTTCAACATGCAAAGTCAGGTATTCTGTATTTGTAAGCGCAATTTCAACACAAGCTATTAATTTCAATCATTTTTTTCTTTTCCCAGATCTTCGCCATGCAACAAACCGGGCCTCCTGTTGGTAAATAAACACATTAGCAACAGTATGTTGTTATTTTTTCTTCTGGCAAACACAAACATGTCTAAGCTGTGTCGTGTCCATTGTCCACCTGTAGGCGTAAGATGTAAATGGCCGAATGCATAGAAGACATCGCTCGATCACGATCTACAGTCTAGTTCGGCGTATGCTTGTCGCATTATCAGTTACACATAAAAATAGCTGAAACATTAGAACAGAACAACGAACCATAACCAACACCCTCTGTGTCAGCGGCTGTGAAACTTTTTGCGTGCAACCACCAAATTTGCTAGGTATGTGTTCATTAGGGTAATAGACAGCAGGTGTATTCAATGGGATCGAGGGTCAAGTGTTTCGTTTCTGTTAGTATGATGCTTACAACGCTCTCAGGAATATTCCAGTTATAAGAATGTGGGCGTTAAATGATGCAGGATGGTCACTCCAGTGATTGATATCATGAGCGTCGACTTACGAAAATAGGATACGACGACATTCCATTCTTGTCCACCAGCACAACATGGTGGTAAGAAATCTGAACACGTGACATCGTCCGAATGCCAATTTATACAAGGACCTAGATTTTCGAAGCTCTCTTAGCGCTAAGATAGTCGTAAGTGCCATTCATTAACATTAACTTACGACTATCTTAGCGCTAAGAGAGCCTCGAACTTCTAGGCCCAGTGGCGTAGCTACCATTATAAAAAAGCCCTGGCTTACACATGATTGTTGCTAAAAAGGTTGGGCAAGTCTTTTGTGGGTGTGGGTGTGTTCTTTTCGAAAGACAATACATTGTACTTTGAAAAATCCCGAAATACCTATTGTTGTAAGTGAAAAATCAAATCCATGTTGAAATCAGAACATTATATAACCAGTGCCATTTCACAGTTCATGATATGAAGATATATGTTTTAAAGTTTACATGTAATAGTTTCCGTTTAAGAGAAGGCAGTTACATTCATAATAATGAAAGATCCAGAGATTTCTGTTTCTTTAAACCTTTGTAATTATATTGAAGATGGATACCATTTTATGTTTATATGTCAACAGTGAGTGATTGAATATTTGATAACGCTGCATCAGCAACTTTGCAGCTATTTGATGTTTTTGAATAATTAGCATAAGAAGAAAGTACCTCTCGCCATATGACATCCCCACCGGAAATGAATCACACGCAGGTACCGCGAACACGTGACAATCATAATGTGGGTGTGTTCTTATCGAAAGACAATACTTTGAAAAATCCCGAAATACCTATTGTTGTAAGTGAGTGAGTGAGTTTGGTTTTAGCACCTTAAGTTTGACGGCGGTCTGTAAACAATCGAGTCTAGTAGAGTGATTTATCATGTTATATCGAAATACTCTTAAAAAACGTATGGGGGTAATCGCAAATACTTCAAAATTTCAGAATTTAACAAATTAGGAAGAAGTTCATGACGTATGGCAGTAGGTATCATAGTGAGTGAGTGAATTTAGTTTTACGCCGCACTCAGCAATATTCCAACTATATGGCGGCGGTCTGTAAATTATCGAGTTTAGACCAGACAATCCAGCTATCAGCAGATTCCAGGCTATAAAGAAATTATCCAAACGTACACTTCTCCATCAAGGACACTTGTTTGTGAGTCGAGGTAAACTCCTGCTATAAATTATGTAATAATGCAAAACTGTTATAATGTGGAGAGATATATACATATATATATATATACCCCTTAAGTCAAATGTGAATTTGAAGCAAAAAATAAGTCTGTTTAGCCTAGCAGAGAGCACACAAACCCCCTTCCCTCAAAAATGTTATTCTAAATACAGATCCCTAGGACACAATAAACAATCACCCTGACTGGTTCATGACGTACGGCAGAAGGTATCATAGTGAGTGAGTGAATTTAGTTTTACGCCGCAGTCAGCAATATTCCAACTATATGGTGGCGGTCTGTAAATTATCGAGTTTGGACCAGACAATCGAGTGATCAAAAGCATCAGTATCGATCTGCGCAATTGGGAACCGATGACATGTGTCAACCAAGTCAGCGAGCCTGACCATCCGATCCCGTTAGTCGCCTTTTACGACAAGCAAAGTCGCCTTTTATGACAAGAATGGGTTGCTTAAGACCTATTCTACCCCGGATCTTCACGGGTCGTAGGTATCATAACCACCGACAGAAGGACGATATTGATAAGATTTAAAAGACAGAATATAGTACGCAATACGCACACGATTTCTCTAACATTCATTTATGTGACGAAATAAACTGGGTATGAATTTCCCAGTGGAAATATGGAGGAGTCTGTCCCACTCCTCATGAAGCGCACTACCGAAGTCAACAGCTTGTTGATGCACATGACCACCCTATTATGTCCCAGACGTGTTCAAGCGGTTAAAGGGGCGGTGGGGTAGCCTAATGGTTAAAGCGTTGGCTCGTCAAGCCGAAGACCAGGGTTCGAATCCCCACATGGGCACAATGTGTGAAGCCCATTTCTGATGTCCCCCGCCGTGATGTTGCTAGAATATTGCTAAAAGCGGCGTAAAACCAAACTCAGTCAGTCAGTCAAGCGGTTAAAAGTCTGGGTCCATTGCTGATTATGGCTTTCTGTGGATTTTGTGCTGATACAGATGAACTCGGACGTTGGAGTCTGATTCACGGAAGAGTGTCAGTATTTTGTCTCGATCGCGCTATTGCGTATCACACGCCCGTCGACGTCCGCTTGTACGCAACAGCATGTATGCTTTAACCTCTACCCTGTTTCATCTAATCTTGACCTTTGTGACAGAGGTCGATGGCACCTATGCACTTATCTTTAAGGTCAGTGAAAGTCTTGTCTACTGAGGCAAGGGCACTTATTATAGGAAACATACATAAGTTCTCAGTGAAGTCTTACTTTCGTCGATGTATATCTTATCAGCGTCTCGTGTCATGCTTTTAGACATGGGATTGGTCTTCAGACGCTTATCTTTCAGGTTTATAGTAACGCACACCTGGCGAAGGACATGTAACTATCATGCGTCATATCTACTGTTAGCGTTACCAATAAAAATTGCGTTTAGTGAAACCCAGTGTAACTACTCAAAGTACTCGTACTAAGCAAAAATATTCACATGTGGATTGCTATTCCCCCAGAATATAAACCTTTGCACAATAATAAAAAACAAATGCTTCATGTGCAATTCATTATCCATTTTGAAAATTCTGATTAATACTTAGTGAAGTAGTGTTCACTTATGCCTCATCACCATGTAACCAAGAAAACAGGAGAAGAAGACGAAGAGAAGAAGAAGAGGAGTGGAAACGGAGATGAAGAAGAAGACATAAAAGCGGAAGCAGATAGCACCATTCACAGTCCCTTTTATCCCTGCATGCTTACATAAGTAGGCAATAGTTTCTGTGAAAATTGTAGACATCAGTCCTTTCTTTGCAGTGTATAAATAGAAGTACGAAATAAAAGCTCTAGCACCAAAAATAAACCTTGCCTCCTATGAATTTGTTGCCTTTGAAATTAAAGCCAAATATGTAATTTTAGGTCAGCAATGTACTGGTACACTATAATACTGAATAAATTAGGAGTTATGCTGTTGATACGAAAAACAGCTCCCCTCTACGATAATCGTTCAGTTGAACATTGGATTTACCTGTAAAGTTAACTTTGAAGAAAACGCGGACTACCACTAACCTTTAGATTTACACAATTATATAGACCTTGTGAAGATCCGGGTTAGAATTGATCTACAGTAATCCACTGTAGACGACTAACGGGATCAGGTGGTCAGGCTCGCTGGCTTGGTTGACACATGTCATCGGTTCCCAATTGCGCAGATCGATGCTCATGCTGTTGATCACTGGACGGTCTGGTCCAGAGTCGATTATTTACAGACCGCCGCCATATAGCTGGAATATTGCTGAGTGCGGCGTAAAACTAAACTCACTCACATAATTATATCCTTACTTCAATTTACCATTTTTAGTACCACGTCAAAATACGTCAGATGTAGGACAATACAGTATCACTTTCCCTATACACACGTAACATTGGTTGGTTGGTTGTTGTTAAACGCCGCAATATTGCAGGTATATGTTGGCGGTCTGTAAATAATCGAGTCTGGAACATACAATCCATTGATCAAAAGCATGAGTATCGATCTACGCCTGACCACCCGATCCCGTTAGTCGCCTCTTACGACAAGCATGGGTTGGGTTACTGAAGATCAATTCCAACCCTGATCTTCACGGGTACACACGTAACAATGGACACAGTCACACACCTCACATAGTCGTCCAAAGTAACCAGTCTTCAATGCTCCGGGTGGCTGGCTTTTATTAAGTGAGAAATATGTATGGGTCATTTGTTTCAACTGATAATTTTCGGTTTTTCTTGAGTGTGAGTTAGACAAATCTCACCCTTCTTATCATAAGGTTCACGAACACGTCGTCAGATATAATTAGCTACTCTACCAACAGCCCACCGCATACTTCTCTATCTGTGGTACTGGTAAGTACATTTTATAATATTTCTTCCAGTTGTAACATACCTTTGATATTTGGGATTATTTTAAATCGAATTTGTTTCTGAAAATATTGGAAAACATAATTTCACTTCAGTGTGCTTTATGGCGGTTAGAACTACAGTCCGTTTGATTTCATTTGAGACAGATGAATTGCTTACTAACACAAAATGTAATAAGTGGAAGTCACATGAAATCGACAGACAACCTCTGATGATTTGTCTCATAATTTTGGCAAACCCGAATGAAAAAGTTGTTTAACAAACGCTCTTCATGTTGTTGTCACTTTTCGCTATTTTAACGAGGGGGGACCACTTGCTGGTAGAACAGCCAAGTGTGTTGCACGTGTGTAATTGAAATTTCACTACACACCCTTGTTGATTACCTGGCTGTTCTACAAGCATGTGGTCCCCCCTCGTAAAAGAATAGCGAAAAGTGACAAGAAAATAATAGTCGTTTGGTAAACAGCCAAGTGTGCGAGTTGCACGTGTGAAATTGAAATTTCACTACATACGCTTGCTGATTACCTGGCTGTTCTACAAGCAAGTGGTCCCCCCTCGTAAAAAATAGCGAAAAGTGACAACAACATAATGATCGCTTGTAAAACAACTTTTTTATTCGGGTGTCCAACATTATGAAACAAATCAACAGAGTTGGTCTGTCGATTTCACGTGACTGTGCAAAATTTGGTTTTGTAGCAATGATTAGATTTGTGCTAGTGAGCAATTCATCGGTCTCAAATGAAATCAAACGGACTGTCAAACAAAGGAACAGTAAGTCGTGGCTAGTATACTGTGAGAAGGTTGTCTATGTTAAACTGTGGTATGGTATCTGAGAAGGATCGCACTGTAACCGTTTTAAGTCCAGGCGTGTTTTAGCTGCAACCCCTGTAATTGTATATGTGTTAAACCTATGACCAGACGCTAAAGGTGAAATGACCTCACCTCCCGCTTACATATCATGAAGCACAACTAATCAGTTCACCTCGTCTTACCCTGCCTTTTGTCAGGAATGTATTTTCACGGCTTTTCTGAAGAGGAGGGTAGTGGTTAAAGTGTTCGCTCGTCACGGTGAAAATTCAGGTTCGATTCCCCAAATGTGTAAGATGCGTGAAGCCCATTTCTGTCGTCCCCCGCCGTGATATTGCTGGGACATTGCATAAAACCCGACTCACTTGTGCATGTATTCATGTGTCATTACTTGCTCGGTATTGCCCGACCAGCCAGCTCAGTAGATAAGCTGAATGACCAGCCCATGGCGGTGGGGTAGCCTAGTGGTGCTTTCACTCGTAACGCCGAAGACCCAGGTTCGATTCCCCACGTAGGTGCAATGTGTGAAGCCCATTTCTGGTGTCCCCCGCCGTGATATTGCCGGGATATTGCTGAAGGTGGCGTACAGCCTTCTTCATTCAGTTTTCATCAAACTCTGATTTGCAAAATTCGGTTCAATATCGAACATATTATTGTGACAAGTTCCTAAACCACTCCAAATCTTCTGTCCAACTTTTCATCAGTTGATACTGGTTTACATACATGAACATTCGAGTTTGTACATGTTTCTAAAAAATCTGATAAACGTATGGTGTACCAAATCATTCTGTGAAGTAAAAAATGAGCCCCAATCTATTTTTAATGTACATTACATTCTCAACAGTTTACTTGTATCTCCCACGTATGTTTTATTAAACCAAATGGTTGTTTTCCTATATTTGCAGATCAGGAAAGATGCGTGTGCTTCTCGTCCTGGTTTTAACGTCGGTGTTGGCTGACGCCCAAACTACCATGTTGCACACCAATCATGGGTTGAGTATCATATCTAACACACTGTCTACTTAAATAGCAGAGGTAGAGCGGTAGAATGTTCCCACTGCAGGTCTAGCCTGATGAACTGTCTGATGTTGCAGGTCTATTGAACTCATGTTGCAGGTCTGGCCTGATGAACTGTCTGATGTTGCAGGTCTACTGAACTCATGTTGCAGGTCTATTGAACTCATGTTGTAGGTCTGGCCTGATGAACTGTCTGATGTTGCAGGTCTGTTGAACTCATGTTGCAGGTCTATTGAACTCATGTTGCAGGTCTATTGAACTCATGTTGCAGGTCTGGCCTGATGTACGAGTTCATGATGGTGAGCCACCATGCAGCCTTTGAGCTCCTAGACGCCAACAACGACAGCTCCATCACTCTGGACGAGCTCGAAGTCTACTACGCTAAGTATGATAACCTAGGTAATGGAAGCTCCCCACAGCTGATATGTATTTTGTTAAGTGTCGACCAAATTGAATCAAGTATACCCAGAAATCAACACAGAATGACTCCAACAAACAATAAGTTTTCCACCGCTCTAAGCAATATGCCAGCAATATCGGCGAGGGACACCAGAAATGGGCTTCACACATTGTACCCATGTGGTGAATCGAACCTGGGCCTTTTGCTTCACGAGCGAACACTTTAACCACTAGGCTACCCCACCTCCCATAAACAACAAGGAAATGATATGCAATTAACAATTGCATTAGAATATGAACTAGATTTTCAAATCAATACAGCTTACTGGAAAGTAAAAAAAACTTACAGTACAAAATACAATGGCAATACAATTACAACGGTAGTCAAAATTCAATGATGAACAGTAGCAGTTATGACAGTATTTGTGATGATTATTTGTGACCCAGTATGATGGGGATCTATTCCAACGTGGATTTCACACCGGGTTTATTTATTTGCTATCGTCATCCAGGCAACGGGCGCATCACCTTAGACGAATTCGTCAACTCAACCGGAATGGACAAAATGATGGCGAGGAATGAGTTCAATGTCATCGACGAAGACAAAGATGGCGTGCTCACCATAGTAGACATCAGAGACCTCTACAAAACATTCGACGTCTACCGTAAGTTGTATAATCGTCTCTGCTATCTATGTTGGAAGCATGTATATGGAATTTATAACACCATAAGCGAAATATATGCAGTTACTAGGACTGTAACAATGCATCGTACTATCGATGGATTGCAATTGGTGAGTCTCCGATAGCAATTAATCGATGGTAGAAACGAAAAACTATCGATGCATCGATAGTATGTATGGCTAACGATAGTTTAGTAATTGACTTCCGTTGATAAATGAGCAGCGCAAAATTTTATTAAATATTTATGTTGTTTTGGATTTTTTTAATGTTTGAGTGCAGACATGCAGCTTCGTTGAGTTTGTTTTAATTGTTTACTTGATCTGGGTTTTAAGTTTCTTGTCAGTTATAAAAAGAGACTGAAACTTCTTCAACTTGTTTTTATTTCATATAAACTATACATTCATTTGGGATATGAAACTATTTGCAAAACAACTATTGCAATAGTATTGAAATAGTTGGTCGCAACAGACTATCGCTATCGCAATAGTTGTTTCCCCCTCAATAGCCACCCCTAGCAGGTACCAGGACATTGGACACCAGCTGCATCAGCTGTATTGGTAGTCAGGGCAGTACAAGTGGTAATACAACGATGGGCACCATGCTGTCGATGATGATGATGCTGTCGATGATGCTGTCGATGATGATGATGGTGATGATGATGATGATGCTGTCGATGATAACGATGACGATGATGATGATGATGACGGACGACGACGACGACGATGATGATGATGATGATGATGATGATGATGATGATGATGACCATAATCCATCTTTAAAAGATGAATAATTACAGGCCACTTTCACATGGCTGAAATATACTGAAAGAGACGGTGAGAGAGTGAATATTACTTTACGCCGCTTTTAGCGGCGGGGGACACCAGATATGACCTTCACACATTGTGCCCCTGTGGGGAATCGAAGCCGGGTCTTCGGCTTGACGAGCGTCTGACCACAGCCCCAGTGAGATGTTGAACAACAAACAGAAAATTGAAAAGATTACAATACATTGTATATGAAACTTTGAAAGGAAACTGAACAGAATGGACTCCATTTCCAGTGAACTTGAGAGAATAAACTGTTACTATTATTTTAAATATGATGATTAAATATGCTCCTGATTAAACTGGAACTGTTACGCATCTTAATGCCCATGTATTCACTTTACAGGTAACAACTCCGTGACGGAGCAGCAGTTTATCAATCGTTACGGAGAGGTAAGCTGTGACAATATACGTCAGGACAGAGGGTGGAGACATGCTTTGCCTGTTATACCAATATCTGAAGCCTTAACAAAATCAGCCTAGTTGTTAGAAACTGTCTTGACTCGTATGGTAACAGATGTGTTCATATTGATGAGAACTATTCTGATGTACAAAAGAAAGTTACACACCTGGTGTTTTGAAAAACTATTAAAAAAGTAAATATTTTGCTAGCCATGTTCCAAGTGGCTACGATATCTATGATATTATTGCAACACGTACACAATGTTTGTGACTCGTGAGTCACAATCAAAACACTTTTCTAAATATTACGCTGTTTTTAGGAAAACATTTTACCAAAGCATCAGATGTGTACTTTCTTTTGTACGTCAGTTTAGATAGTGATCCTTGCAATACTGTCATGTTTCGGATTACAATTAAACAACATGAAAGCCATTTGGAAAATAATGATGATATTCATGACAACATTTTAAATATTTCTGTTGTTTCAAAATGTGTAATTTCAAATCGGGCCGTAAGCCAACCATACCTCGTCTCTTTGATAGCAGATCTTTAAAATCTTTAAATGTTTTTCAACAATCTTCATTTCCAAGTCCGGTTGAGGTGACAAATATATTTCTAAAACATATTACTGTTACAGATTATGAAGATTGCTCATCAAGGTATGAACATCGGATGAAAAGGCAGATCCTAATGTGTGCTATGTAATGTATTAAACAATTTTGTATTAAACGTGTGCGTTGTTCATAAATTGAAAGGCGTCGTGTTGTCAGATATACCCCTTTAAACTGATAAATATACACTTACAAAATGTTGGCAATATGTCTCAAGTAGCTGTACTATACTAATAATAGGTGTGGGGCTCGGAAATAATGTTCCCTTTGACGTCCTTGCAGATACTCATAGTTTGTTTGTTGTTTAACGCTGCACTCAGCAATATTCCAGCTATATAGTGGCGGTCTGTAAAGAACCCAGTCGGGACAAGACAATCCCGTGATAGACATTATGAGCATTGATCTGCGCATTTGGGCACCAAGTCAACGAGCCTGACAACCCGATTCCGTCAGTCGCCCCCCAGTCGACAAACACGGATTTCATGCAATCTTAAAAAGTTACAGACTGTGCAATGCTGATAGAAAAATAATGGTCAACAAAACGACGATGCAAATTTATGCAGTGGACAACAATGCAGTAAAGCATGGGCAACAACGTAGCAACGAACGTGCAAATAATGGGCAACAAAGTAGTTACGAGCGTGCAAATAATGGGCAACAAAGCAGTTACGAACATGCAAATAATGGGCAACAAAGCAGTTACGAACATGCAAATAATGGGCAACAAAGGAGTTACGAACGTGCAAATAATGGGCAACAAAGTAGTAACGAACATGCAAATAATGAGCAACAAAGGAGTTACGAACGTACAAGTAAAGGGCAACAAAGTAGTAACGAACGTGCAAATAATGGGCAACAAAGTAGTTACGAACGTGCAAGTAATGGGCAACAAAGTAGTTACGAACATGCAAGTAGTAGGCAACAAAGTAGTTACGAACGTGCAAATAATGGGCAACAAAGTAGTTACGAACGTGCAAATATTGGGCAACAAAGTAGTTACGAGCGTGCAAATAATGGGCAACAAAGTAGTAACGAACATGCAAGTAGTAGGCAACAAAGTAGTTACGAACGTGCAAATAATGGGCAACAAAGTAGTTACGAGCGTGCAAATAATGGGCAACAAAGTAGTTACGAGCGTGCAAATAATGGGCAACAAAGTAGTAACGAATATGCAAGTAATGGGCAACAAAGTAGTTAGAAACGTGCAAATAATGGGCAACAAAGTAGTTACGAAAATACAGGTAATACAATATTGAGTGAGTGAGTTAGCTGGGTTTAACGCTTCCTTTAGCAATATTCCAGCAACATCATGGCGGGGAACACCAAAAATGGGCTTCACATATTGTACCAATGTGGGGAATCGAACCCGGGTCTTCAGCGTGACGAGCGGACGCTTTAACCATCAGGCTACCCCTCTGCCCCAACAATACAATAACGAACGTGCAAGTAATGGATAACAACACCAAAACGGACGTGCAATAAGTTGACAAATAGAATTGAGGTTCGTCATACAGTCAATTCGATAAAAATACATTTTAAAGCAGAAACATAATTAAAATTATACATTGTCTCGCAGTCGTCCTCCACGCATACGCATGTAAGTCCTCCATACGCATGCATGTCGAACCGCATTACGGACTGACCTATCATGATGGTTCGGGCGTATGACGTACCATATTGTGTATTGACGTACGGCGATATATTATATTGACGCACTGATCACTCATAACACTCTTAAGCAAGACTGTACAATTAATTCATAAAGCCATGGTACCAGCCAGCACTCCAAAGACAGGAGAACCAGGCACCCACATGTGTTGATGTCGCCATTTCGGTCAGTACAGAGTCCCCTAGAGCAGCCACGAGAACGTCGCCGGGGTATTGACTGATTCACGCCATAGTCCCAGTCCCCGGGGAGGTGGTTGGAACAGCTTTCTTTAAACCAACGGTACGTTACGTCACCCTCTTCATCAGATGACAAGTCTGAATCAGATGATTCTTGAGTTACACAGCTTTGTTCTTCTTGCCATTCCAGATCGTCTTTCGAGAACATAGAGGAATCGTGAGAATCGTGTACCGACTCGCTTACTGATGAACAGGTCTCCCATTGTACATTTTTATCGGTTTCAGTTTCAGATTCGTCATCTGTGAAGTACATGTAACGATTATACGTGCTCATCACAGATGATGCAATGGAACGTGGACCAGATCCTTTTCTAAAATCGGGCCTTTCGCCCCCCAAAGTGAATACCCTAGAATTCATATCTACAAAGCCTTCATCTATGTCGTTCATGTCACATCCTTTTTCAAACGGAGCAACCGTCTTCGTCAAATTTTCATGTGGACCACAGAAGTTATGTTTCTTTGTAGCGAGTCCGTTCCAAAACCTATCAAACGAATGTTTTTGTTTCAGGCTTTGATGCAGATCACCTGACAGGATCTTCTTCTTAAGCCTACACTGGAGGTCAGGGTTGAAGATCCTTTCAGTAGTCGTCTCGTAGTCTCCACATATTGCCTTCAAATGTACACGACCAGATTTCTGGATGAAAACCTGCGTGAAGCTAGAAGATGTCACCAACGCTGGTCCAGAATCAGTTCCTCGATAAGCTTTCTTCTCCCATACGATATCATAAACGACGTTTTTGACTCTCTTCTTTGTCTGAGCAGGGATTTGGTCGACTGTGGCGAAGAAGTGACCAGCGTGGTCAAGCTGGAGACAGGAGAGACAGGCAACGATTTCACACGTGTGGCAATAGTACTGGACATCGGGACCATGAAGGTCCAGACAGTCTCTGGCTGATGGCTGGTCCCACTTCTCCTGGTAGTCATTCATCACGTACCTCAGTGCAGACATAACCCTATGCGACCTCGTCTCAGGAGCCAGGGTGTGTATGGTGTTGCATTCTCCACAGAGAAGTACGTAGCAGGTGAGACAAATGCGCATCGCTGACGAAGTGACGCCTTTTGCTTCACAATACGTACAATCACCTAGCAGTTTATTTATATTGTATATGTCCAGCAATCTGCTGACATAGACCCACGCCTTGACCTCCGGAACTCCGTCTTTGGTCAGTTCCAGCTCAGTTCCACACTGGCCGCATCTGAATGTCCTCTCACCTTTGTGGTCAGTGGTCACCTGCTTGACCAAACATTCGTGGCAGTATGAGTGAAGGCATGTAAAGGTTGTGGGGTTCCATAGGGTCTCGTGGCAACCGTCACATGAGAAGGTGTCGATTCCCTTAAGGCCGTCCTCAGCAAGGTACATGTCCTTCGTGATGTTAACCGAAGCATCTACCGTCCAGTGGTCATCTAGAATAGGACAATACACATAGATTAGTGTTTCTGTTTTGTTTGTTATATAACGCCGCATTCAGCAATATTAAAGGCTTTAAAGCAACAACGCGTGTTGGAAAACTCTGGACTAGACAATCCAGTGATTAATATCATCAGCATTCATTTGCGCAGTTTAATACGATAACATGTGTCAACCAAGTCAGCGAGCCTGACAACTGGATCCGCCTCGCCACTTACGACAAGCATGGGTTTCTGAAGAACAATTTTAACCCGGATCTGGTACATACATATCATTGGTCCAGTTGCGATAAGTAGTAAATAATAGTGTGGACCGAGTAAGTGAGTGAGTGGGTGGGTGGGTAGTTGGGTGGGTGAGTGAGTGAGAGGGTGAGTGAGTGAGTGAGTGAGTGAGTGAGTGAGTGAGCGAGTGAGCGAGCGAGTAGTGTTAAACGTATTTTTTGGAGTCTATTTATCGAGTCTGGTCCGGACAGCCGAGTGATTTGCATCATGAGCATCGATCTCCAATACTGATACGAGCACAAGTCATGCATCAAGCTCGTCAACAAGTCTGGCCACCGATATTTTGTATCACCGACCTCTTGCGACAAGCTTGCAGCTGAAGGGCATTATTAACCAGGATCTCCTCGGGTCCATGAGTATTGATTCACATGGTGAATACTGTACGGTGGAGTGCAATAGTGCAGTGGTAGGGCGTATGCCTATCACGCTGAAGGCCTGGGTTCGATCCCCGGTGGTGGCACCTAGGTTCGGGTCCCGAGGTGGGACAAGATACTTAGATCTACATTGTCTTAGTCCACCCAGCTGTAAAATGGGTAGCCGTGAGGATGTTATAGCAATGTGAGAGATTTGTTCATTGCGCCTAACAGGCAGCATGGATGTATGGTCCCCAGGGAGTTGAAAAAGTGTCGGATGGTACGATGGTGTCCTATGACCGGGGAAAGTAATGTACGTAGCGCCGTAAGCAGGTAATGTGCCTGGATATGAGCGCCATATTAGCGGACTATTACTATTATTATTAGTTAATGAATTTCTGTTAATGTGGGTGAACATGACACTTTACCATTCCCATATTGACTGCAGTCCAGTGGCGTGTTGGTGGCCCTGTCATCTGCAACAGAACAGAGAAATGTATTTCGGGCTATGATGTATCACCCAATGAATCTGGACATACAAACCGGTGGTTGATAGCACGAATACCTGAAACACCTGACACGCAAAACGTGTAGATAATCAGCTGTATTACGCACGAGTCATCCCATCCACACACCTTACAAGTCCAACACAAGCTCGTGAGAGGCGTCTAACGGGATCGGGTGTTGAGCCTTGCTGACTTGGTTGACACAAATCATCGTATCCCAGTTGCGTAGATCGATGTTCATGCTGTTGATCACTGGATTTACAGACATCCGCCATATAGCTGGAATATTGCTGAGTGCGGCGTTAAACAACAATGTAAATATCGGTATGTAAATAATCGAGTCTGGACCAGACAATCCATGAGCATCGATCTACGCAATTTGATACGATGACATGCGTCAACCAAGTCAGCGAGTCTGACATCCGATCCCGTTAGTCGCCTCTTACGACAAGCATGGGTTGCTGAAAAGAAAGAGTAAGACAGTGAGTGAGTGAATTTAGTTTTACGCCGCTTTTAGCAAGATTCAAGCAATGCCACGGCTCACACACTGTATCCATGTGGCGTCTGCATGGACAAGATAAATGGATGTGGCCGAGGCGTTATGTGTGGAGGAGATACTGGTACATGTGTATGTGTATGCACGTGGCACGTTTAGCTCGTGTACTATAGTTTGGCATGAAATGCATGTGGACCCGGTTTTTTGTAAATATCTCTTCATCCAATGACCCAATCGATCTCAAACTGTGCAAGTGGATGTTTTGTCAGACACCTAATCACATTGTAAATCACCGATTTTATGCATTTGTATTAAAGAATCTGTCTATGTAACTGTCCACAAAATAAACAGCAGACCGCAGACTGCTTGCAGAGGGAGGGAGCCAATGACCTGTAACAGCGGCAGTGTTGGGTCATAAAGGTCAACGTTCGTCAATGTAGGTCAGCTATGTACGTTTCATGTAATCCGACACCTTATAAATCGGTTGCTACGTTTGCTCTCTTTTTAAAAAAATTCAACACATTTCTAATTAAACGTTTAGCATCATCTGAATAAGCTTTCATGATGACAGCTAGAAGTAGTCAATGTGAATGATCCAAACGGTCTATCACTGTGCAGTGCACAGGTAACTATCATGAACTGCACGTGCATTTACCTTTTTACCGGGTCCACATGCATTTCATGCCAAACTATAAGTGCAAATGCTAATCACTCTTGTACCCCCTCGAAATTACTCGAAATTCGTACCTGACACACTTACGACTTTAAAGGTGATCTTTGGTGTCGATCCCTATTCAAAACAATGTTATGTTATATAAAACAAATCACATGGTAAGAAGTTATGAAAACAACGTTAATTGACTAATTTTATTTTACAATGGATAAAGATCTTAGTCCATAAGGTGCTGAAACATCTGGAGAAATAACGACGGCAAATGTAGGAATCGAACCCAAGGTGCAAGGATGACATAGCAGTGGGATGGCGATTAGCGGAGCAGGAAATGGCTGGGTCATCCGTGACATAGAGAAATGTAAACTTTGTTAATATATTTCTGTTTCTCTTACTAGTACACATTTTGAAGCGATCTACATTGATATCATTATATAGTTTGAACTTACTGGCATCCATTGTGAAGGCCACGAAAATAATCCTTTCCCACTCAATCATGTGATATTTTTACATTGATGAAGGAATGCTGAATGGATTGTTTCAAGCTTCACGTGGTGCACAGAGAACACGTGCTGCCTTCTGTAGAGGCTGGGGCTCAAGTGTGCTCGAACAAATCGGGGCTTGTGCTTCACAAGAAGCTCAACCTCAGACGTCACAATGTTTACTCATATAAAAGATTTTAGTGAAAGTTGATAGAAGGAGTGTATGCATAAAATATTCAGAAATGTTTTAGTTTGTGTTCACTTTTGTTGTTTCTTGGATTTTCAAAACTGGGTAAGACAGTTCTTGTATTAGTGATATTTACTGAACCACTGTAAGGATATGGTGAGGGGTGGAGTAGCCTAGTGGGTAGAGCGTACGCTCGTCAAGCGGAGGACCCGGGTTCATTTGTGAAGTCCATTTCTGGTGTCCCCCGCGGTCATGTTGCTAAAAGCGGCGTAGAACCTCACTCACTCATGCATAAAAGCATCTGTTTGGATGGATGTATTCGTAGACGAGGGTGGGTATGGGTTGGTGGTTGTGTCCGAGGCGTGTGACTGATACCTGGGTAAACGTCGTTCATGAGAATACACACATGGTCGGCCATATAGCTTAACACGTTATATCGCTGACCAATGAACGAAGCATGTTAGGCATTTCGAAGACAACCTTGAGATGATGAATTTAATGCAGCGTTCGTGACACCCTGCTTTCAGGGTACAGATAATTGGCATATAATTGGCAATTTTCTAACTTTGAACTTTGTCTGTACTTTTCATGTAGCATCGTGGGTCTGTATACTCAACAATAAAAAAAATATTTAGGTGGCTGATCATTTATTAAGCCCCCCCCCCCCCTCTCTCTCTGTCTGTCTGTCTCTCTCGTCGACATCGTATTTCGTTACAGTTAGTGACAATATAGAGTACACACAACGTTGTCTCTTTCGTGTGTCATGCCTATTGCACAGTAAAATAAGTCGATCATCCATACAGACTTGTCGTTCCTGTTACTACAACTTCTAGACTGCCTCTCAATCAAACAGTGCTTCAGAAAAAAACTATTCATTCAGCCTCAGGTTCGTGTTTGAGACATAAGTTTCAGACATGAATCTTGCAAAGGGTTTTTGCCGTTTATCGTCTACTATATCCAGCATTCCAGTGTAGGATCAAATTTGTTTATATTTTATAAATATCTTGAAGCAAGAACAAGAACTCTTTTCTCCGAAGGAGCCAAAGATTCCACGAGTCACAGTGATGGTCACGGTGACCGAAACTTCACACGATTGCACAAGCGCAGGGCACACGATCGCGTGGAAAGCAACAGCTGAAACACTTTGAAACGTGACGAATTTACATTAAAACTGTATCAATGTTTATCTGACCGTGGATCTACACGAAGAGGAGATTACAAGGAGCGGGACCCGTGAAGATCTGTTAAAATTGGTCTTCAGTAACCCATGCTTGTAGTAAGAGGTGACTAACGGGATCGGGTGGTCAGGCTCGCTGCCTTGGTTAACACATGTCATCGTATCCCAGCTGCGTAGAACGATGCTCATGCTGTTGATCACTCGATTGTCTGGTACAGACTCGATTATTTACAGACAGCCGTCATATAGCTGCAATATTGCTGAGTGCAGCGTTAACAGCAAGCACACAAAAACCCCAACCAAGCAGCAAACCATTCCGTACTTGTCTCTCAGTTGACGTGACCGCCTCCGTGGTGTAGTAGTTAGAGCGTCCGCCCCGAGAGCGGAAGGTCGCGGGTTCGATCCCCGACCGCGTCATACAAAAAGACGTTAAAATATGGTACTTGTTGGTCCCTGCCTGGCGCTCGCTTTAATGGGTACAACAAGGACTGGTCAGCTCGGAGTCAGTATAATGTGTCTGAGTGGGTCATTCATGCTTCACTGCGGCGTGGTATCTCAGTGGTCTAGCACTATAAAACCAGCTTCAGTCTGGGCTAGTACAAGCAGCCGCACATACACATACACACAAGCATGCACGTCGTCATATGAGCGAAATATTCTAAAGCACGACGTTAAACCCAATTTCAACTCACCTCACCTCTTCAGTCCTGCAAATGCTCTGGTCGCTACAGACGATTGTCTGTCTCTTTCTCCGGGACTTAGTCGTGGCTCTGTTCCGAGTTGTGTCCCTTAGTTGTGTCAGGATCCGGGGATCATGAGTTTCTATCATGACACTAAGATTCGCCTTAGTCTCAGTTCATTCCCTCATCACTATTTCTTCGTGTCTGTGAGAGATGTTGAGTGGCAACATATGCATGAGTTAGAATCGAACTCAGGTCTTGGGAGTGAATTATCTGACTATTCAAACCTCCATTTAATATTTTTTAGCGTTTTTCATAAACGTAAAGGTTAACCCTGAATTCTGTTTCCAAAATATTCATGAGCAACCTCTTAATACATTTTATTACAACAAGATCATTTCAGCACTCAACATTTTGCGAACGTTTCATTATTTGCTCCCTCTGAAGTCATTACAAATGAACTTATAACCATCTCTACTTCCTCATAACGAAATGCAAGGGCTGTGATTTGAGGAATGGTGGGGTAGCCTAGTGGTTGAAGCGTTCGCTCGTCACGCCGAAGACCTGGGTGCAATTCCACGCCGTGATATTTCTGGAATATAGCTAAAAGCGGCCTTCTTGATAGATCAAGAACGTAAATCACATATTACCTCGCTATAAACTAACTTAACGTAATTCTTCGGTGCCACTTATAAAACACTGTCTCCTTGGTCTAACGTCTGTACGGGGAGATTTCATATATCGAAACACCTTCAGTAGCGTCATCCCACTGGCCTGTGAGGGATTTCCTTTAAAACGCTCCCTGACCCAGGAATACATATAAAAGAAAAAGGCACGGGCATGTTATGACATTTCACAAATGGAAAAAAATCGCCATAGTTTTTGAATAACATTATAAAAATAAACTTCATATTTATCAACAGTAGGATTAGATCTTTTAAATGGTGTATGGGATGTAGTAGCAATAACGTTTTACAAGCTTATAATTTCCTTCATAAACATAGGCTTCATCGATAGTAAGGAAAGATATCAAGGGGAAGTAACTAGGTGCATATACTGTGGTTTTAGCAGTACGAACGTTTCACTATCCGAACGTTTTTTTTAAAAAACCAAAGTGTTCGTATTAACGAGGTCTGACTGTATTTCGCGTAAAATTCCCATCTACCGCAGGAGTTGTTTCCCTTTTCTTCACCATCCACACATCTCACCTAAACAAAAAAAACCTAACAATCAAAACAAAACTAAAACAAAAACGAACCAGGTGAGCTCCTATTAACACAAGGTGACACGTTATCTTATCTGTCTGTTCTGTGACATAAGGCGACCGCAGAAGACATACAGGTAGGTCGTCCGAATCATGAAGTAGACACATTACAACAAATATTGTTCCACCCGTGAAGTTCCGGATTAAAATATTGATCTTCAGTAACCCATGCTTGTCGTAAAAGGCGACTAACGGGATCGGGTGGTCAGGCTCGCTGACTCGGTTGCCACATCGGTTCCCAATTGCGCAGATCGATGTTCATGCTGTTGATCACTGGATTGTCTGGTCCAGCCTCGATTATTTACAGACCACCGCCATATAGCTGCAATATTGCTGAGTGCAGCGTTAACAACCAGCAAACCAAAATCAAGCAGCAAACCATTCCGTACTTGTTTCTCAGTTGACGTCCGGTAGACTTCGTCCTGCAAATATAGCTGGAATATTGCTGAGTGCGGCGTAAAACTAAGCTCACTCACTCACTCACAAATATTTTTCACAGATTGAATATCTTAATACTTCCTTGACAAGTATAGCCAGAACTCGTATAGTAATAATAATAGTAATAGTCCGCTTATATGGCGATCATATCCAGGCACATTGCAATTGCCTGCTTACGGCGTTACGTACATTACTATCCCCGGTCATAGGACACTATCGTACCATCCGATACTTTTTCAACTCCTTGGGGAGCATACAGCCATGCTGGCTGATAGGCGCAATGAACTAAACACTCACATTGCCAGCACATCCTCAGGGGTACCCATTTTACAGCTTGGTGAACTGAGGCAATGTGGATTTAAGTATCTTGTCCGAACCCAGGTGCCACCACCGGGGATCGAACCCGGGCCTTCAGCGTGATAGGCATACATCTTACCACTGCACTATTGCGCTCCGTGTATATACACATGAAAACACATACTGAGACTACGTCAAATACTTTGCAACAAAAATTTATAATTTAAACCAATATAAACTGCCCAACCTACAGTTCGAAACATCGTCATTTATTGCAGAACCGTTTCAGTTACTTCCCCGGTTTTACGCGACTTTTAGCAATTATGATGATAGTCAACAAGGCCACCATTAGTAAGCTTCATAAACACGTAAGTGATGAACTGAACTCGGGTCTTCGGCATGGTGAACGCATGGTGAATGTTACGTCCCTCCTCCCAATTCCCCCTTTCCACGATCTGGGGAAATAATTAGTGTGATGTACAGTAATTAATGTTGAAATATTACTCTCATGTCTATTAATTAAATTTGGAGCATTACTCTCATGGCCAGTAATAAGTGTTGAAGTACTACTGTCATGTCCAGAAATTAATGTTGAAGTATTACTCTCATATCTGGACAAAAATGTTGAAGTATTGCTCCCATGTCCTGAAATTAATGTTGAAGTATTGCTCTCCTATCCAGAAGTTAATGTTGAAGTATTGCCCTCCTGTCCTGAAATTAATGTTGAAGTATTTCTGTCATGTCCGGAAAATAATGTTGAAGTATTACTGTCATGTCCGGAAAATAATGTTGAAGTATTACTGTCATGTCTAGAAATTAATGTTGAAGTATTTCTGTCATGTCTAGAAATTAATGTTGAAGTATTACTGTCATGTCTAGAAATTAATGTTGAAGTATTTCTGTCATGTCCAGAAATTAATGTTGAAGTATTACTGTCATGTCTAGAAATTAATGTTGAAGTATTTCTGTCATGCATGTCCGGAAAATAATGTTGAAGTATTGCCCTCCTGTCCGGAAAATAATGTTGAAGTATTGCTCCCATGTCCAGAACTTAATGTTGAAGTATTACTCTTATGTCCAGAAATTAATGCTGAAGTATTACTGCCATGTCTAGAAATTAATGTTGAAGTATTACTCTCATGTCCGGAAATTAATGTTGAAGTATTGCCCACCTGTCCAGAAATTTATGTTGAATTATTGCTCTCATGTCCAGAAAGTAATGTTGAAGTATTACGTGTCCAATAAATATAGGAGAAGTATTACTGTATCTGTCTTCTTCGATAATTATTGGGAATTCTAGTTGTAATGTCGAGCAATTACTGGGGAAATCGTATGAATGACTCTTTCCAAGAGATTAATTTCAATTTACTCACCGAAAGTAAAAAGGTAACCCTGAGTATATAATTATTATCATTATTGGATATTTATATAGCGCACATATCCACGCACTAGTGTATGCACAAGGCGCTGGTATTTTCCCCCTCGATCATTGGATGTCAATCTCAACGGAATTTCGTATTATCAATCTCAACTGGGGACCATTCAACTCTTGCTGCCACAAGGCGCACCGAGTTATTGCGGCTTTCCCACGCTTACGAGATACCCATTCACAGCTGGGTGGACTGGGACACATAGTCACAGTACTTTGTAAGTTCTACTGCACGTTGCTGTACCCGCAACTAGGTGTTGGCACGTATTCATGTGGCCACCATCTGGTCATATACTAACGGATTCGTGGGTTCTTTTAAGTGCACAGTGTTGTGTACTGCACACTAGGGTTTGTGACAACACTGAAAGAGTCTGCACACAAAGTTGACACCAAGGTTTTTACACCCGGTCACAGGTGGGCTCGATCCCGGCATCAGTGAAAACAACTGCAATAAAAGTCTATCATAACTCGTTAATTGGCCCGCCTGGAGTATTTTTTAATTTGTTGTTTAACGCGTATTCAGCAATATTCAAACTGTAAATAATCGAGGCTCGACCATACAATCCAGTGATCAACAGCATGAGCATTGATCTGCGCAACTGGGATGCGATGACATGTGTCAACCAAGTCAGCGAGCCTGACCACCCGATCCCGTTAGTCGCCTCTTACGACAAGCACGGGTTACTGAAGATCAATTCTAACCCGGATCTTCACGGATGGACTGGACATGTACTCACTCAGTAGCTGATTGTAACCAGGCTCCTACCTCAGTGGTAGCCATCGGTGTGACTAATATGTCCAAGGAAGATTCATCCAAAGACCTAATCTGTCCAAGGCTAGTGGTGTTGTGGGTCACACATCGAACCAGGATTAACATATGATACTGGATAATCGAAGCGGGTGCTGGGGATATTCTCATAATCAGTTACCATGGCGATTGCAGTCATTGTATTTAATGCTTATTTTTTCAGGATGCAGTGTATCAAGATGCAGTACATCATCAGTCTGTCGTTAATCGCAGGGGCTCTTGCTGCACCAACGTGAGTGATAGCTGTAAAGTCAGAGAATACATTCTAAAATTAAACCCAGAAAATATCATTTTTGATTTCAAGGGGAGTAATATTAACCCACTAAATGTCATCTGTTTAATGGTGAAACAACATATCTACACTATGAGCAGAAAAGGGGAAAACCCAATGTTAAATTAACCCCAAAAAGAGATATTAAGATACCATCAGACATGCAAATTTATTGCTTTTACAAATGATATTCAGCCCAAAGTCTTTGTATTTTTATTTTGTCCTCTTTCCACACATTATTTTTAGACTTAATGTAGACTTAATATTTATATTGTAAACTTCAGAGAGTATGTATTGAGGCAAAAATGATTTTTGCCCGGTATGTTACTAGATACAGTTAAACCTGAAATAGCCTCACTTCATATACAATACGTACAATATTATGTATGTATGCATATTTTTGTACATGTAAGCATATTTTTGGAAATATAAACATAGATAAAAAGAAAAAAGAATAACTATCTGGCAGCAACAGTTGTCAAGTTTCCGAAATAGACCCAGTCTGGATATGAAGGTTGAACTTCTCTGATGTTTGTCAATGTTTGTGAATGTTAACCAACAGCAATGATGAAAAACCTGATGTATCTTCTTGCAACAGGACACCACTAGCTTTAAAGTCAGTGGCATCTACTGACAATCAGAAAGATTTTTCGAAATGTGGAGCCTCGTTAGAATTTATGAGAATGGCTTTAGTTTTTCAAAAGCCTGACAATTTTTGTCCCAAATATATTTTAGTTTAACCTGTTGCCCACAAAAGATGAAAGAGCGGTTACCTATGGGATAAATTAGTAGTAACTGGCCATACGAAGAATTCTGGTACGCTTCGGAATTTTAGGAACATGGAATTTCGAATTACAAAACCCTCCCTTGACAATTTAGACAGGTCAAGAGAGTGATCCATTCAGCCATCCAACTTGTAATTGGAATCATTCTCATAAGTAATATGTTTAGCCCAAGCTGATGACGTTTCAAAAAGTGGCAATACCATCCAGAATATTTCAGATTTTGAAAAGCATAGGTATCCCTTCAAAATGGTAGCTTTAAACTATCACATCTGGTTGACACAAAACCTTTACTCACCAAAGATAAGGGCCCCTCTCCTACAATCGAGTTTGATGACTGCTCCACAAAAGCTAACGTCTCATTACCTGGCTTGCTGCAATATCAACTAGTATGACCTGATGAAAGTCCAGAAGTACTTTGCGAACCAATTGGAGTTGAATTTGATATTAATCAGACTGCTCCCGCTATTTCAGATGCGTCCCTTTGTCCCATTATCTACGCCGATCAAGCTAGACTTATCACTGGTATAATAGTACTTCCCAATGTGTTCCGGCACTGTCACTGCCACAGGCCTCGACAACATGTTTACATACACAAAGCCAAGAGTGATCTAATGTCATTGGAATAGCCATAACTGTTAGTTAATCAATTAATAATACATTTGTAGAGCGCCTGATATCAACCTCACAGATGCTCAGTGGCGCTGTTACAAGGAATGAAGGGGTTACAATATTGTATAGTACAATGGTGTGCGGCACAGCCAATGCTGCTAATATACAGTCACTGTTGCTGGTGAGGAAATAATAGGCATGTGACTGCCTGTTTCAATGTTGCACTGCAATGTAATGTCTCTGATAGAAGGGTTTCAGGGCGTTGCGTAAAAGGGCTGCCTCATTTTTTGCTTGAAATGCACACATCAGTGGAGCATACGGTTGACTATTGTGTGGTGAAACCGGCCTGGAAATGCACGGAACTCCTTAATGTCACCATTTCCTTTGGATCTAGTCAGGGTCATAATCTTATCTCAAGATGTCATTTTCACGCAAACATTTTTCATTAAACATATTGCTGAACAACTAGAAGGATTGTTTTGTCTTTATGAGAAAGGAGGGGGAACTATTTCAATCAATCTGAACTTGCAAAGGTATTATAGACTTAAACACAGTGTTCCGGCAGGGGTGGCTCAGTCTTATATTCGTCCACGAAATTCTCCGTGAGGAGTTTTATCACTGATGTTTGACGCAAACCGATGATCGTAGGTTCGAATCCTAGGTCCCAGTGGTTATGTTTCTATTTTCTTCCTTGTATAAACCCCTACAAGTAAACTTCACCACACTGTCGAAGATCTCCATTCCTTCAGGATTTCTTCCTTGTATAAACCCCTACAAGTAAACTTCACCACACCGTCGAAGACCTCCATCCCTTCAGGATGTCTTCCTTGTATAAACCCCTACAAGTAAACTTCACCACACCGTCGAAGACCTCCATCCCTTCAGGATGTCTTCCTTGTATAAACCCCTACAAGTAAACTTCACCACACTGTCGAAGACCTCCATCCCTTCAGGATGTCTTCCTTGTATAAACCCCTACAAGTAAACTTCACCACACCGTCGAAGACCTCCATCCCTTCAGGATGTCTTCCTTGTATAAACAAGTAAACTTCACAAGTAAATCTTCACCACACCGTCGAAGACTTCACCACACCGTCCATCCCTTCAGGATGTCTTCCTTGTATAAACTCCTACAAGTAAACTTCACCACACCGTCGAAGACCTCCATCCCTTCAGGATTTCTTCCTTGTATAAACCCCTACAAGTAAACTTCACCACACCGTCGAAGACCTCCATCCCTTCAGGATGTCTTCCTTGTATAAACTCCCTACAAGTAAACTTCACCACACCGTCGAAGACCTCCATCCCTTCAGGATTTCTTCCTTGTATAAACCCCTACAAGTAAACTTCACCACACCGTCGAAGACCTCCATCCCTTCAGGATGTCTTCCTTGTATAAACCCCTACAAGTAAACTTCACCACACCGTCGATGACCTCCATCCCTTCAGGATTTCTTCCTTGTATAAACCCCTACAAGTAAACTTCACCACACCGTCGAAGACCTCCATCCCTTCAGGATGTCTTCCTTGTATAAACTCCTACAAGTAAACTTCACCACACTGTCGAAGACCTCCATCCCTTCAGGATTTCTTCCTTGTATAAACCCCTACAAGTAAACTTCACCACACCGTTGAAGACCTCCATCCCTTCAGGATTTCTTCCTTGTATAAACCCCTACAAGTAAACTTCACCACACTGTCGAAGGCTTCCATCCCTTCAGGATTTCTTCCTTGTATAAACCCCTACAAGTAAACTTCACCACACCGTCGAAGACCTCCATCCCTTCAGGATTTCTTCCTTGTATAAACCCCTACAAGTAAACTTCACCACACCGTCGAAGACCTCCATCCCTTCAGGATGTCTTCCCACATGAACCTGACACACCCTGATGTTACTGAAATTCTGTTAAGCCAAAACCGCTCACCCAGACTTATCATTGTCAAATGGAATTCATACTTATGAATCATTATCTTGTGATTAAGCCACCCTAGCTCCCCCATCCCGAATTAGGATTTTGGTGATTGTTAGCACAATAAAACAATTCATACCATTCCCACTTGGCTGGGGGCGGTGGGATAGCCTAGTGGTTAAGCGTTCGCTCGTCCAGCCGAAGGCCCGGGTTCGAGTCCCCAAATGCGTACATTGTGTGAAGCCCATTTCTGGTGTCCCCCGCCTTGATATTGATGGAATATTGCTAAGAGCGGCGTAAAACCACACTCACTCACTCCCACTAGGCTTGACCGTTTTTCGGTTTAATGGAAACGAAAACACAAAAACATTTGCGTATTGAATATGAAAAAAATGTTTGCAGAGAAAAGCGTCTGTTCACAGGAGTCCTTTGCCATCGAGTACAGCTGCAGCTGCCCAGTTGACCAGCTTCTTCAAACAGATCTTCAACAGTCTCGATGATAATAAAAACGGGCACATAGAAGTAGTTGAGATGTACAAAGCTTTCGACGATGATGACACGAACAGTGAGTTTCTTGATTGTCCAGTTGTGTCCGTTTCTACATATACTTTTATGTGAGTTACTTTACTTACTTACTTATTTACAACTGTGTGTGTATATTCATGATCGTTGGTTTCAAAGACCTACATAACTTTACACATCAACTGCTAAATGCCACTCCATGACTCACTTAGTGATAAAACATACATTGGAGTGAGTGAGTTTAATTTTACGCCGCTTTTAGCAATATTCCAGCAATATCACGGCGGGGTACACCAGACATGGGCTTCAAGCATTATACCCATGTGGGGAATCCAACCCGGGCCTTCGGCGTGACGAGCGAACGCTTTAACCACTAGGCTACCCCAACGCTCCATGCATTGGAAGCCAGTTCAATTTATCATGTGGGGTGATTTAAGGGTTAACATAAACCGATACAGTAAATTTGTAAATAAGTATTTCAGTCATATCGTATCGCCTCCACGTGATGTGGGATGAAGATGCTGGCGGTAGACATTTACAGTTATGTTGTCGTCGTGTAGATACATTTGTACAACCACCCAGAATGTTCGTAAGAGCCGCCGATAGGAAGGGGTGGTTAGCCTCGCTGACTTGATTAATGTGTCAATTTATTCCAGTAACGAAGCTTGTCTATGAACAACCTCAAGTTCTACTTAAATGATTATTCAACAACGATTCTGTTTTTGTACAGAGGATCACAACTTGAGTATGGATGAGTTCACGGCAGGGAACACAACTCAGAGGAAGTTCCTGGAAGCAGTGTTCAAGAGCATGGATTCCGACCATGACGGCTACATCAGTCGTCAAGTGACTACTACCATCTTTAAGATGCTGGACAAGAACGGTAAGCATCGTTGTCACGTTGTTCTATATGTCCGTGTCCTAATGATTGTCACCATCAGGGGGCGGTGGGGTAGCCTAGTGGTTAAAGCGTTGGCTCGTCACGCCGAGGACCCGGGTTCGAATCCCCACGTGGGTACAATGTGTGAAGCCCATTTCTGGTGTCCCCCGCCGTGATGTTGTTAGAATATCGCTAAAAGCGGCGTAAAACCAAAACTCAGTCAGTCAGTCAGTCAGTCAGTCACCATCAGCGTCTACCCGTGAAGACCCGGGTTACATTTAATCTTCGGTAACGTTAACTATGCTTGTTCTAAGAGGCTACTAACGGGATCGGCAGGCGCCAATATCTGTTGTCGTCATGTATAAATATACCACACACAAGAAGCATTATATATTTGTACAATCTGAACTCAAATAGAACCAAAGATGCTTGATAATGGAGAGACACTGAAGCAGGGGATCCTTGGGAAACCTGAGAAACTGAAAGAAGTTCATCCTAAAATCCATCCTAAATTTCCAAAATATATAAGCTTTGTAAATATCATATTTACAAGATTTGTAAATGTTGTAAATATGAACTTTACAAATTGTACATTTTTGTTAATCATCTTTCTTTCTTGTGATAGTTGTGCGGTTTGCGAGCTATGCTTGGTAAAGTGTTTTCTTTTTTTCAAGACGTTTTGTTTTGTTTGTAATTGGTTTTTCTTGTTTTTGTTTTTTCTTTCAAGACTACCCGTGAAGATTAGAATTGATCTTCAGCAACCCATGCCTGTCGTAAAATCCGACTAACGGGATCGGGTGGTCAGGCTCGCTGCCTTCGTTGATGCATGTCATCGTATCCCAATTGCGTCACTGGATTGTCTAGTCCAGGCTCGATTAATTGCAGACTGCCGTCACGTAGCTGGAATATTGCTGAGTACGGAGTGACACACACACACACACACACACACACACACGCACACACACACACACGCACGCACGCACGCACGCACGCACGCACGCGCGCCCCACCCCCACCTTGAACATCCGGGTTGTAAATGGTCTTCAGCAATCCATGCTCGACTTGTTTGATTTACCATTTTGTACGCGGGGCGGTGGTGGTAGCCTAGTGGTTAAAGCATTCGCTCATCACGTCGAAGACCCGAGGTCGAGTCCCAACATGGGTACAATGTGTGAAGTCCAATTCTGGTGCTCCCCCGCCGTGATATTGGAATATTGCGAAAAGCGACGTAAAATCATACTCACTCACTCACTCACTCACTCATTTTGTACGCTCATGCCATCAACCACTGGTTGTGTTCAGGCGTTTGGTTTGGGTAGTTTTGCCTATCACCTTCTATCCTGCACCTTTCATTGTTATTAATAGTGGTCAGGCTCGCTGACTTGGTTGACACATGCCATCGTATCCCAGTTGCGTAGATCGATGATCATGTTGTTGATCACTGGATTATCTGGTCCAGACTCGGTTATTTACAGACTGCCGCCATATAGCTATAATGTTGCTGAGTGCGGCGTAAAACTAAACTCACTCATTCATGTGTTCGTTGTCTCCGAGCTCGAACTGACCCAACCATCGTTTTTCATTCACTTAACTAGATATATTTACCTTTTCTTAAATACATTAGCCACTGAAATATATAAAAGACGGTCGATATCTGAATCGAACTGACGAAACTCTTACAGGTGATGGCCTCATCGACCTCAACGAATTCATTGACCAGTACTCAAAAGTAAGTATGTTTTATTCAGTTCCAGGGCTGCGTTCCTCAAAGCGATCGTAGAGCTACGACTGTCGTAAGTCTATGTTAAAGTATGGGAGTTACGATCACCTTAGTGCTACGACTGTCGTAAGTCTATGTTAAAGTATGGGAGTTACGATCACCTTAGTGCTACAACTGTCGTAAGTCTATGTTAAAGTATGGGAGTTACGATCACCTTAGTGCTACGACTGTCGTAAGTCTATGTTAAAGTATGGGAGTTACGATCACCTTAGTGCTACGACTGTCGAAAGTCTATGTTAAAGTATGGGAGTTACGATCACCTTAGTGCTACGACTGTCGTAAGTCTATGTTAAAGTATGGGAGTTACGATCACCTTAGGATTACCTATATCACACTCAAAGAGTTTCGGAGTATCTCCGATTAAAGTATTTTCCAAGATGTGAGTCGCATGCGTTTAGATGGTACATATCCGCGTCAAGCATCTGACCTGTGTCTGGAGTCAGTGAGTCCTGGACATATGAGTGAGTGAGTGAGTACGGATTTACGCATCTTTTAGCAATATTCAAGCAATATCACGGCGGGGGACACCAGAAATGGGCTTCACACATGTGGGGATTCGAACCCGGTTCTTCGGCGTGACGGACGAAAGCTTTAACCACTAGGCTACCCCACAGCCCCTGTACACGTGGAACCCGTGAAGATCAGGGTTAGAATGAGCCTTCAGTAACCCATGCTTGTCGTAAGAGGCGACTAACGGGATCGGGTGGTCAGGCTCGCTTACTTGGTTGACACATGTCATCGGTTCCCAATTGCGCAGATCGATGCTTATGCTGTTGATCACTGGATTGTCTGGTCCAGACTCGATTATTTATAGACCGCCGCCATTTAGCTGGAATATTGCTAAGTGCGGCGTACACCTAAACCCACTCACTCATTCACTCACTCACTGTACACGTGGAATCCCTTGAGTGCACTACGTTGTACATAATGTGTTCATCATGCGATTTACCTCGGATATCACGCTAAATAATAACAGTAAAAATCATAATTTTGGTCCATGGGTCTAAAAATGGGGAAACATCCAATTTAAGCCCATGGGCTTAATGTTGTATGGGCTGAAATACAGGAAATCTCTGTAGGGTCACAGAAATATGGGAGGTAACTGAAGCGTTCATAAAATGACATCAAACGTGGTTGTTGTGTTCAGCCGGGATCTTGATGTTCTGGCAATATAACGCAGTCTGTGTGTGACAGTTTCGGCACAGAATCACAGGTATTGCTCCTAGAGCTGAAATGCACAGCCGTTAAAATAATTAGAATGGAAATAAATGGCAGTCAATGAGGCGTGTTTCCCATTCTCAACAGCGTCATCACTGTTCAAACATCTCTTAGTGGAGATATGGAGCGGCTTGGAGTAACGCATCATCGATAATCTCCAGGGTATACGTTACGATCACTCTCCTCGATAATCGGGATTAGTGTAGAGTGATCGTAACGTACTAGTATACACTGGAGATTATCGAGGACGGGGAGTAACGAGACGCTTGATCGAGTAGACTGTTAAAATTATTAGAGAGAGAACTCAACGATGGTCTGGAATCGGCGTTTTAGTTTATTCAAGTTTCAATTTCAATTTCAGATTTTGTCCTTGATTCTGCAAGATTTCGAGCCCCCACAAGGAAATTAAAGAGGAAGGATATTAAGAAAAGGGACATTGACACCGCTATGTGTGAGTGAACCATTTAGGATTAACGACCCTGTGAACATTTGACTCATTGAGTGAGTGAGTGAGTGAATGAGTTAGTGTTACGCCTTTAGTAATATTCCAGCAATATAACGACCGACGGGAAGACCACAAATGAGCTACACACATTGTACCCATGTGGGAAATCGAACCCGGGTCTTCAGCCACTAGGCTACCCCACATATCCCATTTGTCTCAGCATAATGGGGGGATGGAAGACCGTGTGATCATACATTTATCAATCTGTATATCTGTTTATTTATATCTGTTTATTTATCCAACTACATTGTGATGAATAGCATGTAAACCTGCTACTTTTAATGCCCTAAAATTGGATACGGACGCACAACAGCAACAACATGTCGCCAATAATGGTATATGCCATTATTCCAAAATGACCACTGTAAAATTTTGTTTCTGTGATTATTACCTTATCTGGCATTTGTGTCATCATGTCAGCTGTTTCAATTTAAGTCGTTTTTTCGATTTAATTTAAGCACACACATCGCAGATCTTTAGGAAAAGATTACCATCTTACATGGCCTAACCTTGCACAATACCACCCATGGTTCTTACCAACAAAATCAAAGTCACTGAACATATATCTTAAGTATAAAGACATTTACATAAGAAATTCAAATAATACATAATTCTCAGTGTTCATATTGTGTATTGCAAGTTTCTGTTTGAACTTATGCACTGCTGCAGGTGGTATAGTATTTGAGTAAGAACTTAAAACTGCCTGAATTAATATCTGCTAGTAACTTGAAAAGCGACTTCGAATTCTGTTAATAAAATTCATAATGAGAGATTGTCTGGCTGTGACAATTGTTGTGTTAGGGACATCCTGCTCCTCTTTTTTTAATATTTGTATTTTTACTTTCAGATCAAGGAAATAACTCTACATTTGTTGTTATGACCAGCACGTGACTTGTTGCCTCATTAAACACATGTAAACATCAAGACATGTATTACGTCTTTGTTTCATTCAAACGTATGTACCCGTGAAGATCCGGGCTAGAATTGATCTTCAGTAACCCATGCCTGTTGTAAGAGGCGACTAACGGGATTAGGTGGTCAGATTCACTGACTTGGTTGACACATGTCATCGTATCCCATCTGCGTAGAACGATGCTCATGCTGATGATCACTGGATTGTCTGGTCCAGACTCGATTATTCACAGATCGCCGCTACATAGCTGAAATAATGTGAGTGCGGCGTAAGACCACAAACCAACCCCACACTAAATGTCGATGTTATTTTTGTGTGAACGTAGCTTGCTATGCAGTCCATATTGGCCTTGTCAAACAAGAACGACATTATTTGTGTAATTCTAATGGTAATAACAAACATAACAGAAGCACTCGAAAAAATGATGCTTTTAAAACATTTAAAACTGATGCTTTTAAAACATCTGTTTTAAACAATAATAATAATAATTATGATTTTTTGAAAATCCTGCATTGGCAATTAATATAACATTTTTTCAGCTGTCCTAAAATAGACTTTAAGATCAGACTAATATATATATATATCTCCAGTGAAGTTGTAATTTGAGTGTTTAAAGTTGACTTGAAACTGTCAGTTGTTCATTACCTGATAAGTGTCGGGTACCGCACGTAAAATCTCCAAAGCAAGCTCAGAAGAAATGACGACATGTATTTTATATGAATTTTTAACAAACACAAATTGCCATAACCGATTTTAGTATTGGGATGATTATTATCAAAGTACCTCACACGTACTTTCTAATTGGTTTGTCGTATTTTCGTACATAACAATCATCGAGGGGGAGGAGGGGGGGGGGGGGAGGACAAGTCGTCTTGGAGGCTGCGGAAAGAGGCGATGGAACCAAGCCTTGTTTGGATTGGCTGGTTAAAAATAGACAATACAACACAGAACAACCGTATGTATATTCCCGTGTTATGTACGTTGGGAAATATTGTCGATGAAATGGATCAAGTACGGTCTGCCTTGACTGATGCATGCCATTTATTCCCAGATGCGTGGATCGATGCGTGGATGCCAACTGCGGTCTTGATTATTTTCGATCAGCCGTCATATTGTCTGCATATTGATTTGTGGGGGTAAAATTGCAGATAATGGCCATCAATATGGGTAGTCAATGGAGAAGCTTGGCGGAAGTCGTTGAGATTCCATCATGAATTATTCATATCAGGGAAAATAAAGCCACCATATGTATTCACGGGTGATGGATTAACGTAGCCTGACTGTAATGGAGAACTAAGGCCTCCCAAGAGGAAATGAAGACCTTATTTATTCAATGGCTTCCGGCTTTTACGAATACAGGACCCGTCTGGATTGGTGGCAAAGAAAGCAGAGGAAAGAACGTGAAGCCGGTGGGATAACTCCCCAATAAACGACGTTTACGCTACACAGCCTTGGTTGGTTATTTGTTTAACGCTGCACTCAGCAATATTCCAGCTATATGGCGGCGGCCTATGGATAATCAAGTCTGGACCAGACAATCTAGTGATCAACAGCCTGAGCATCGATCCACGAAATTGGGATACGATGACATGTGTCAACCAAGTCCTGACCACCTGATCCCGTTAGTGGCCTTATGCGACAAGCATGGGTTACTGAAGATCAATTCTAACCCGGATCTTCACGGGTCTCGAGCCAGAGTGTGATACAGGGGAGAACCAATTACAGCAAAAACGCACTTAAGGATTTGAGAGAATTGAATGAAAGTCGAAAAGAGATTAGTCTGAATATAATGCATAAAACTTAGTGGTCAAAAGTTTAATTTAAAGTAAAAATCAAACCGCCACCGTATAGCTGGAATGTTACTGAGTGCGGCATTAAACAACAACCAAACCAACCAATCACTGAATTCTATTTACAATAAATTACCCGGCCACAAATTACTTTTACAAATTGTTGCAGAATAAATGAACAACAATTTGGGCATAATTTGGGCATAAAATGAATGGGCTATAGTCAAAATTAATGTAACTAAAATCTTTAAATGTAAATCAAAACCATACTCGATATGCTTTCTTTTGCCCCTCAGTATGCGTGAAAGTACAAGTGGCAAAACCCTCTCGGTACTGTGAAAGTGAAAATAGTCTGATAGGAATATTCCATCTCTCATGAAAGCATTGTTGGTTGGTTTGTTGTTTAACGCCGCACTAAGCAATATTATAACTATATGGCTGTCTGTAAATAACCGAGTCTGGACCAAACAATCCAGTGATCAACATCATGAGCATCGATCTACGCAATTGGGATACGATGACGTGTGAACCACGTCAGCGAGTCTGACTTTCCGATCCCGATAGTCAACTCTTGCGACAAGTATGGGTTACTGAAGACCAATTCTAACCCGGATCTTCACAGGTCATGAAAGTCATGGAAACAACCGAGACTGAACAGTTTCATCATTTCAAGGAAAGCACCCCAAAACTTCTTCATGGTGACAGGATGACAAAGAAATATCATGACGAACCAGTTGCCAGGGAGTCTGCAGTAAAGGTTTCTGTTGGCCAAATCTGCCATAAAGTTCAGGTCCATAGAATGATTCTCACTTTTCAAATATGACGTGATGCCTTACGTTTTCATCATTTTAATCATTTACCAGATAATGTTTTAAGTCAGATATCTCAAGATAATGTTATATGCCGGTCTTGCAGATATGTTTGGAATTAAATGATTATGAGAATCTGCCGTGGTAAAAGTTGAAGCTTCGTTAAGTATGCACATGTTCATTTTTCGCGTGTTATACTGCTGTGTTAATGCAGATCAATGTCATAAAGAACGACCTAATCCCTCATAAAGATAGGAGGTGGTATTTGCAAAACGATATAAGAGAATAATGACAAATTTAAGGTAGAAAACCAAAGTTGATATCCATAAATGTGTCCTTAATGTACTTCCAAACTTCTAAAATGCCATCCAAAGAATTTATAGGAGGTCTTTTTCACTGCAGATGAAAAAAATCCTCACTTTTATAACAGTTAACATTGTAACACATTGCAGAGAGCTACAACACTATGTTGAGCACCTGAAATCGAAACAATTGCCAGAACAAGCATCTCCCGAAAATGGGTACTAGTATATTCAGGTGTGGAATCGTCACGGGTCTCTATATACTCCGCTTCAAAGAGCTACTTCTTGCCAACTCGAGTTTTATATGGGCCACTAAACACGACTGTGCTGCACGATGCCTCCATGATAAAGCATGCGTGTCATTCTTCTACAACACAAACACTGGGATGTGTTACTTATATAATACGACAGTAGCACCAGATCACACCGCCCTCCTCCCAGTCAGAGGAGTGGTTTACTACATGAACAAAGAAAAAGGTAGGTAACATGTGCGAAGGTCATCTGAGTGAGTGAGTTTAGTTTTACGCCGCTTTTAGCGATATTTCAGCAATATCACGGCGGGGGACACCCGAAATGGGCTTCACATATTGTACCCATGTGGGGAATCGAACCCGGGTGTTCGGCGTGATGAGCCAACGCTTTAACCACAAGGCTACCCAACTGCCCTCGTTCACAATGAAACTAGAATACAAAGTAAACGTTGGTACGGGTCAGCAATTTTGTACATACAAATATTATGCAATGAATATGTTTAACATAGTAAATCAATCACTTACTATTTCAAGAATTGTTGTAAATGGGAGCTGCTGCCGGTTGGGTAGGGCATGTTTGCCATTTTTAGCAAATGTTATCACTGTTGATTCGTTCATATTTCTTTAATTGATTTTGTCACTTTAAGTGTAATGTAATCTTTTTTTTCAAATATATAAATTCACGATAGTGAACACTGTCATTGGGCAACACTGACATTTTCAATGTATAATATGGAAAGTAGGCAGTATATTCGAGACCATGTCGGCTTGTCCAACGACCACAGCAGGTAAAGTCCGTTTGGGTTCAAAATGAGAACGACAAATGATTAAATAACTCGAAATTGAAACATAAATAAGACACATGGTCCTGAAACCTCTGTATCCAACAGAATCTGAAATCTGACGTTTTTTGATCTACCACGGAAAACCATCATGTAATATTGTGCTATTTTCACGCTCCACACCGGGGGTGAGAAACACATTCAGGAGCAACTCAGCGTAGCCAGATCAGATGACCCCATTTATCCAGCCTCATGTAAGAATGTCGAGTTTTGATTGGTTCACGTGACTCTGATAAAATACCATGTACACCCGTCACGATCCGCGAGCAGGGAGTACAAAAGTCATATTATCCCGCCACGCCTCGGTGACCACGCGAAGTGAGAAAAGCGTGCATCGCCAAGCCTTTAGTAACGTGCGCTGCATTGAGGTCAATCGATCAGCTGGTGTCAACATGGCAGCAAGGAAACGTTTTGCCACAACAACTGAGAATGAAATTGATGTGTATTGTTTTCTTTTGATTTAGTAAAAACATTCGGCTAGATAAATGCGTTATCACATCGTGTCTCGGGAAATATGGAATTGTATCAGTCCCTCGTAAGGGATAACGATGTGATAACTTATAGTGTCTTATTTATGTTCACTTATCCCAATTTCCAGATATTTAATCATTCACAGTTCTCACCCAAACGGACAATAATGGTCTTAACGATGTGAGAGTACCCCTCATCTTCCTCATTGTCAGGTAGGAGGGGGTCGTCTCAAAAGCAAAACCAGCACGGGTGTTGCAGACGGTGGTTGGGGTCGGGCTGGGGGATAGAGATATCAGCTAAGATAAGATAATCCTTTAGGGGAATTAAACTGGAGAAGTCTGACTGAGTTTCGTTTTATGCCGCTTTTGGCAATATTCAAGCAAAATCACGGCGGGGGACACCAGAAATGGGCTTAACACAGGAGAAGTAAACGGCATGTCATAACAATTTACAAATAATATCCTGTCTTGTCGATCTTCGGGTGGCCATGCCACCTATATATTTTGAGACATTTAATACGATGGTTGATTTAAGCTTTTCTATTGG